AGCCTCCTGAGTAGCTAGGATTACAGGCGTGAGCCACCAGTGCCCGGCATTTTGTTCTTGTTTTAAGCTTAGAGATCTTGGCTCTTCAGTGTTCTGTTACTGTCTATGTGGACAATATACACTCACACAAGAGTATCAGAGAAGAAAAAAATAAAAGAAAGTCTCCATTTTTGAGTTCTCATAAGAGAGACTTCCAAAATGTATTCTGATCAGGAACAGGAAGATGATCACTCTCCATAAATGAGCAGGAATTCTCTGGACATAATTAAGCATCCTTTATACATGTGTTCACTGTGTGAGTCCATCCTCTACCCACTCAGTGACGATCTTATCCTGAAGAAGTAAGACTTTTTTCTTGGTAATCATCTTTTCAGGCCAGCTTCAGCTTTCCCTAATTGATGTGCTGATGATTGGACACTAAGGCCATATTTTTCCATAGGATGGGGACTGTGTTACAAATCACAACTTGGTCCTCAGCATATTGCCAAGATAAGTCAGACACTCGAGCTGGGAAGGTGGCTCAGGGGTAGAGTGCTTGCCTTGCATGTGTAAGGCCCTGGGTTCGATTCCTCAGCTGTAGCTCAAGTGGTAGAGCACTAGCCTTGAGCTGAAGAGCTGAAGGAAAGTATCCAGGCCCAGAGGTTAGGCCCCACAACCAGCAAAAAAAAAAAACAAATCAGACACTCAACTGAAGTAGCTTAAAAGACAGAATCAGATTTCGCTGTATCATGAGGAGAGGAGAGAGGAAACGAGTCTAGGAACTTAAAATCCAGCCAGTCTTCTCTTTGTCTTGCCTCTCTCTCTCAGGATGTCAGCTCTATTCTCCAAGGCCAGTTTTTCCTATAGCTGTAGACAGCTTTAGGACACATTCTTGTATCTCTTTGACAAGAGAGAGAACAGTATACCCTAATTAGGAGGAAAATCATTGTCTTCTTGCCATATCAGTGGCCGTCCCTGTGGTCAGAGTGATAAGAGCTATGTGTGCATGACTTAGTTTGGGTCTCAGTGGTCATCTCCCACTGTGAGGGAAGGAGATGAGGCTCTGAGACTATAAACACATGAGGCTCTGAGACTATAAACACATGAGTCCCCATAATCCAAATACCATTTGAACAAATACAGTGACACGAGGGCCCTGATTTAGTCTTCTTGTATCCTACAAGGGAATGTCAATAAGCAATTAGGTTTCCATTCGCTTCATTGGTAGGCACCAATGATAGGTGACCCAGGCTGATGGGGATAAGAAGAAACATGTCCACTCATACAAATAGATCATCCTTCAGCCTCACAACAAGACATCAGAGCTCTGCTCGGACACAGGCCCTCCTACACGTTCACACATATGCCGTAGGTGCCAGGAGAGTTAGTTGCCATAGTTTCTTAAGATGGTTACACCATGCCCAAATTTGGAGTGCTGCGAAGTCACAGGTTTTTACCACGTCTTCAGAGACAACCCCAAAGAACATCATTTCAGAACAAAAGCCAGCATCTTCTTGACAATGACATGAAAATGACTGAATCTGACATGTCTCTTTAGGATGAACTCAGAAGCTCAGCTGAAATCAGTTGGATAAAGTTATAAGTATACATACCCTAGGAGCCAGATGAGTCAGTACATTGCAGGAAAACGATGGTTTGATTTTCTTCTTTAGGACAAATGGGAGTGATGATGGCAACGCCAGGTAGTAATAAGCCATTTACCTGCCTTCCCCATCTTCACCCAGTGTTCCCTAGTGGCATTGTTATTGCTATCTGGGGATTTCCCCCTTATTTTGATGAATCAAACCTTAAAAAAAAAAGCATTTAAAGCTTTTTCTTGAAGAAAAGGCACATTTATTTCCTTTTGAGCCTTATTCGTTTACTAATACCTCTTCAAATGCAAGCATTGCTCTCCCCAGACATGTTAAGCAAGACACAGCTGCTCTTTGGTAGTTTGAGCACAAAGGGTGTTTCGTCTTCTGGCACGTGGTCTTTGTTCACATAAGCCAAAATGGGGCAAAACAAGAAGAACACTAGTTTATAAAAGGAAATAGGCAGGCTGCCATCAGCAAGATAAGCATCAATTGTTCAAGAAAATATGTGTGGGAACTTGGGATTCTATCCAGCTCATCCACATCCTTTTACCTTCCTTACGGTGGTAGTTTTGATTATTTTGTCAGGGTTTCCTGCCCCCTCAGAGTTGATCTTTGCTTGTAACATGGCTATGACCCCTTGGTTTGTTCGTCTTCACCTGAGGTAGGGTGTGTTCCTTGACCTAGAAGAAGAAAAGCCTGGCTGCCTGTCTAGGACTTCCATCTACATTCAGTTCTGTACCCAAGGCTAGGGGCCCAAGGTGGACACAGGATTATAAATGTCAGTGAGGCTGACAAGAAAGGAAGCCTAATGTCTGGTCCCAACAAAAGGGCTTAATTTAAAAGAAGATGCACACCTTCCTCTACAAAACCCGTTTACTTGGAAAGAAGATATTTGCATGTAATAAAGGAAACAAAGTATTCAACAGAGAAGAGAGACACATCATGCTCATACTCAGTATGAAATTCTTAGTTCCTTTTCACTCTTAGATTATCCTAAATTATAGGAAAATGCGTTTTCAGTAAGCTAAAAAGAAAAGGGAAAATGTGGATAATGTTAACTTTTCATGTGGTTATCCTAAAGAGAAATATTCAACATTTCTTATTCTATCCGGAGATAGACTTCATTAAATGATGCTTTGTTGAATCAAAATTTTGATCATAAATATCAGCCTTTGGAGACTTTTCCAGTTAGCATGCCAGAAAAGACTGACTCAATAGTAGATTCATTTTCTGTAAACCCTGAGGACTGGGGAAAATGAAGGAGAAAATTGAGTCTTGACAATTAAGGCCAAATGGTTTTGAGCTTCAGCATCCAGCTAATGTTCTGAGTGTATGCTAGGTGGGTAGGCCGCTGTATAGCTTTCTTTAGTCAATACAGATTAGTTTAAGCTCAAAAATAAATCAAACAAGCCCAGCATGACTCAATCATGTGAAGCTACACAGATGAAAGATTTCAAACAAAAATAGCACCTTGGCTAGCCAGTGGTGGCTCTCTAATTCTAGCTATTCCGGAAGCTGAGATCTGAGAATCATGGTTCAGGAGCCAATCTTGACAGACAAATCCCAGAGACTCTAACCAACGAAAATCTGGATGTAGAAGTGTGTCTCGAGTGGTAGAATACTAGCCACAAAAGCCAAGCTAGAGTTCAAGGCCTTGATTTGAAGCCTTGGTATCACTGTGTGCTCAGGGGCACACACAGAGGTATCGTGGAACTTATAAAATGCTAAACATGATTTTTGTTTAAAGAACAGAGAAACACGGGCTTGTTATTGCACTCCTTGGATTGATTTTATTTTTAATGTTCGAAATTTTACAACACTGCTTTTATATTGTTTCATGTCCTTTATCAAAACGGCTTTCCCAAATTTTCATGGCCATTTAGCCAAATCTTGTCTCCACCTCCAGCCTTCTTACTTTATCTCTAGTCACTCTCTTCACCACACCACAGCATTACCTACCTCCTATTGTACATCTTTCCCTGAATCATCAAAAGATGATAAATGTCCTTTTGTTTACCAAGTAAAATTTCAATTATTCCCATTTTAATCATTTTGTTCCACTCTATTTTATTCCAAAACCATAGCTCCACCTCAGAACTTTAGAATGTAAGTTCTTCATTATTATGAAACCCATATGGATTTACTTATTGTGCTAAAAATAGAAACGGGATATTTCATTTTTCTTATTTGCATTGAAGCTGTTCTTTGAATTTCTTTACTTTCATAGAATTCCATCATAGAATTTTTTCCATTTTTTTAGTGACAACCAGGAAGAGGAAAATTTTTCATTATGGTCTAAATTAATCCATCTCTACTATTCTTTCAATTGTTTAAGTGAAACTAAAAATATGCTTATAAGACATCATTTATTTCTAATCTTTAAGCTATTGTTTGCTATTTTAGCTGTTTGCTATTGTACATGGTCTAGCCAAGAATTCCACTTTCCTTAATTGGTTTGACTGCTAATTGTAGCCAAAAGTACAAATAAGATTACTAAATAGAAATTATTTTAATACTCGAGGACACCTAAATACCTTTTCAGAGGGTATTTTCTTAGTATAACCGGTAAGTTGTTTGAAATGAAATAAATTATAATTTCAACTGTAGTCAACAACAGAATGGATGATAAGTTAGTCATAAGCAGAGATAAAATAGAATGCAAGTGAGAAATTTTGGAAACTCACTATTGAAATTCAAAACTTGCAATGTTTGGCACACTAGTCCACATACTCTTATAAAGACCCACAACTAGCAGAGTGAAACAAAGAATTGAGGCAATTATCTATATGATTCAGACAAAAAAGAAATCTGCATCCAAACCCAAACCGTTTTGCCTAAATAATCTTATGTTTGAATATTTTTTTTGCCTGAATTTTCATTTGTCTCAGTTTGCTGTTTCATTTTGTTAGGCTAGAGAGCTGAAGTGAAAATTATCTTCGTGAAAATTTTCAACTTGGATTGTGCCTGGTGCCTTTGGATTTTTTTTTTAATATATACTTGAAAGCTAACTTATCAGACGTTCTTCAAGCTGATGGCCCTTGAAAGTTTTGCATTTTTTTTTCTGAAGCAATATAAAAAATGCTTATGGTGTGTATGCAAGCTGCTGTTTTAATTAACTTTCCTGAATTTCAAACATCTATATTTTACTCTCTTATATGCTTTTAACTAAGGTATAGTAGATGCATTTTTGCTTCAATACTAATTTAAAGGTGTAATATTCATTTCTTTAGAGAACATTTTTGTTGTTGTGCATGCCTAGTGTTTTGTACGTTGTATATTGCATTCAGAATATTTTTTTCCTTCTCACCTATCCACAATGCAATGCCGTTCCCATGATGCACCTCTGCTTGCTGTTTACCTGTATGTTAATTCGCTTGAATCCCATTGGCCCACTGCCATCATGTGCTCGCTGCCTGTTATTAAAAGACTCAGTCGACTGCCAAAGCAATGAAGCGACCTCTCGAAGCAACTGTAGACCTGGTACTTTGACCTTTCACCTTTCGCTTTGCATGTAGCTTTTCAGAGAACCATCTGAGATTTGTTTTTACTTGTAAGATACTGGTTGCAGCCAATCATGATTATTAATTTAAAATGGAAAAATTTCAATAAGGTGTTTAGCCATTTCATTTGCATATGTAATCTGTGAAATAAAATTGACCCTAACAAATTTTAATACCTTTTCCAAAAGAGTGAAGCAAACTTAAATTCCTTGGCTCAGAAAAAGGCTCATTATAATCCTTATTAACCTTAACAGTCAAGAAATCGTCATTGAGTAAAAGTAAAGAATAGATATTAATAATAACAGAGTGCTTTTTTCTTCCCCCACCCCTCCCCACTAGAATAGCTGAACCCATTTAAAAAGCTGAAGCCATTTTTGTTTTCGTTGTTGTTGCTTGATAGTTTTTTTTTCTTTTCCTTAGTTGAGATGCTACCGTTTTTTGGGTTACAGAAATCATGCTTTTGCTCTCAATAACAAATTCTCACTCATTCGACATTGCCGCTGTTTAAATTAAGGTGCATGGCATAAGCATCTCCTTAGCTATCATTTAAAACGTAAAGAAAGAAAGAATATTGTCCTTGATGATCTGTGTAGACACGGAAGATGTGTTTGCTTTAAGTTAGACATCTCTTATTGACTTCTTCCTTTCTAGGCCTTTCCTCCTGGTGCTCTTCATCCTTTACCAAAGAGACAAGCACTTGAAAAAAGCAACGGTGCCAGCACGGTATTTAATCCCAGTGTCTTACACTACCAGCAGGCTCTGACAAGCGCCCAGCTGCAGCAGCACGCCGCGTTCATCCCCACAGGTATGTGCCCTGACCGTCCACGTCTGCGTCCTTCTGTCCTTCTGGTCATGTGCTTTCTTCTCATCTCTTTAAGCTGTTTGGCGGCCTCTAGTTTTGCATCTAATGGTGCAATACCGCCTCAACGGTATCATTGTCTAGATATATCTAAAGATTTTGACCCTGCCTTGATAGCTGAAAGTTGTTAGGATTCTAAAGCCAAATATCTGATCGAACTGAGTGATAGATTTAACCAGGAGCAACAGAGAACACGTAGGGGCTTCTGCTTTCTTAAGCCCTTGTTAAATTGTTTCTGTCAATAAGACCTTTTATGTGTGACCATTGAAATTTTCCCTTAACACTGAATGACCTAAAAATAGCAATTCTAGTAAATACTAACCACTTTTTTTCTCTTTCTATTCAGTGCGCTAAAAAATAATGAGGCTATTCAAAGTAAAGCAATCCTCTACTCATATTTTTTATATCCATGCTCTCTCTCTTTCTCGCTCTCTCCATGCTTCTCGACATTCACCAAGTTCACAAATTTTATAGAGAGATATGAGTCCTTATCCTCCATTTGTGAGCCAATATCTAAGGATATGAGGTGCTACTGTGCATTATTTTACCATTCCACTAAGATGTCAATCATGTTTATCATAAAATCTCAGAGTTTAAAGTGGTCTCCGTGATCTCTTCATCCGGTTGACTGTTTTACAGATGAGAAAACTGAGGCCCCCCTATGAAAAGTGGCTTTCCAAGGTAACAAGAAAAAATTGTAGAACCTCGGTCCCCTAGACCTTGTCCAATAGACACACCACAGCAGCCCCCTAGCATCCAAATACAAGATTCCAAAGGGCTCTCCAAAAAAATAAAAGCAGCCTAAAGTAAATCTTTAAAAAAAATAGCATAATAGATAAGATACATAAGGTTAAAAAAAAAACCACATTGTGTGCCAACGCTACCCAAGTTTTTATTTATTTCCCTGCCACAGACACAGACACTCCAAACATACACCTTACACAGACAGCTCAACCAGCCCATGATTTTCATCTTAAGTCTGAAGTTAGAAGCAGGGTATGATTTCATCTCCCATTTGTTGAGTTTAGGGGTTCAAAACAGAAGTCCTTCATTCCGTGATAGTAAATGGAAGATGAATATGCATCAGTAACAATTTCACTAAAAAGAATTTAACTGATCCTTGTTTGTAGGATTGGACTTTCCCCTTTTGTCACTCATTTTCTTGAATTCCAAAGCATATTAGAAGTTGTTTTTTAATCAGAGATAGAAAAATACTTTGTAATATCCTTTACTACAATGTCTATACTTTAAAAAAATCTAATAACATATAAACAATTGTACTTATAACAAAAATATAAATTATGTGAGCAAAACAAGTTTTAGGATTTATTTCTCTTAATTGATTTCTGGACCTATCTTTATTGCGTAGACCTGCAGAGAAATCTCTTAATTCAGTATCTATCAGCACTTGACTCTAACACTGTGACAGCTTAGTTAATGACCACTCAAATAACATAGCAGTATCAATCATTGTAACCGAATTGAAATAATACCATCATATAACAATTACTGGAAAATTAGTTTTCCCACAAAGTCCTGTACGGTTTCTATAAATGTCTCATAGGCCTTGTGGCCAGTAGACATTTTAAAAGGGAAAAAATGACTCAGAGAAAAAACATAAAAGATGACTGTGTTCCTGAAGAATGGGAAATAAAGCCATTACCATCTTGGGAATATCTGAGACCCTGGAGCTAAGCCTTTGCTAGACTTTCAAGCCCTTAATTACATATGCCATACTCTAATCCAATAATGACAGATTAAAGGAGTTATTGAAAGAATTCACCTTTTAAGATATTTCACCTGCACACCACTTAAATGTTTCCAAAGCAAGAGAGAATGACACCCCTAGCATAATACCTCATTGCCTCTCAGGTATTGGGTACGGTGGTTGTGTACTTCCGCCCTCTGGTGGATTCTGTAGGAACAGCTCAGATGTGTCAGCAACCCTCATCCCAAGGACTTAGGAGCCAAAGGGTGGGACCCAGCCCACATAATGCCGTGAATTAGAAGACTCCATTTGTTGCATAATATTAAGATCATAGTGAAAAGAGATGTGGATCTCCTGTTTTGGAGTGTTCTTTCTGCTTCTAAGAAATATCCATGTTTCTCTCAAATGATGAAAGAGAGCAAACTTTATTAAAAATAGCATATGCTTTTCTCCCACCTTTAATCCACAGTGGAAATTTGAGTGTGTATAGTAGGGCAAAAGTTTTTATTTCAGGGTTTCCTTATAAACCACATTTTGTACCTCATTTTAAAAGTGATCATGATGACACACGTTCATTGTTAATCCAGGTTTTTTAACCTCTGCAAATTAAGTGGTGATGTTCAGAAGAGTAATTTGTATAACGGAGCAGATAGCAGTCCCCTTATTATTAAGTGGACAAATAAATATGAAGTAAAAACATTTTTTTTGTTTCCTGGAGGTTACCCTTTATGGAAAAGATATTCATAATATATCTTTAAATGTGCTACTAAAATTTTCCCATTGACACAATGTGGCTTTGCATTTTCAGGAATTCTACCTCCAGGCTGTAAAGATATTAACATAAAATATCACACAAAAATATGAAATTCTTCTCCAAAAACCATACTAAGATAATTATCACCCTGGTTGATGCCCTAGCACATTTTCAGTGGGTGGGATTTTTTTTTCCTCCTTTTGATAGGGATTATTTTAACGAAGTAGTTATACTTTTTCTTTGCTATGTTAAGAAAGTGACAAAACCACACATAGTTACCAAAATAGCACCATCATGATTCTTGGCATTTCTCTGACAGGTTTATTCTGAGTTCCTGGAAGTGATCTTATAGATCTATTATCTATTTTTATTCAAGATGTTACTGTTCTATTAGTGGCAAACAATTATTTGCCTTTTGCAGATGGAAAAATTGAGGCTGTGTTTACAAAGTGGTATAACAATTATCCGGATAATCCTGGTTGACCGTGATTACAAGCTAACTACTTTGTGCAGTGGAAGAAGAAAATATCTGAGGATGTTTGTTTATAAAATTAACACCCTAGTGATAGGCTTCAGCTGGTCAGAAAAAAAAGGTGACCACCAGAACCCTTCTTTGAGTCATCAGAACATTATATGGGAGCACAAGATAAATCACACAAAAGAGAGAATGTGCTACCTAATCACTGCCCATGTTGAGAAACCATAGATGGTCCTTAAGGTTTCCATGTAACTTGTGTCCATGTTGGGTAGAAACTGTCCACATAAAATAATCAACTATCCAGGCACTGTAATCCTAACCACTGAAGAAGCTGAAATAAGAAAACTGAGATTCAAAGCCAGCCTGGGCAGACATATCTGAGAGATTCTTATTTCCAGTTAACTAGCAAAAAGCTGTAGGTGAGGTGTGGCTTAAGTGGTAGAGGACCAGCTCTGAACAGAAAAGCTAAAGCAAGAATGCAAGGCTGAGTTCAAGCCCCGGTACCAACACACATTACACACACACACATGCACACGCACACACACACACGCGCGCACACACACACACACACACGCACACACATACACGCACGTTATTCATTGCATTCCATACAGCAAACATTTCCTGGACACATGAAATGTTCTGGGTTTGAGAGCTGGTGGTGAGAATGCAAAGGAGCTCAGACCTAGGTTAAAACCAAATATAAGGTGCAGCACGCAGAATGAGCCAAGGGACTGAGCATAGCTCTTGGAGAAGGAGGTTCTGCCTTCCGCACGCATGGTGGGTGGTGATACAAAGCATATGGAGGAAGAAGACTTTCTGAAGCTGGAGACATTTACTGACTTTGAAAGAGAAGTGAGCTTTTATCGTTGGGTGGGGGTGGGGGAAGAGCCTCTCAGGCAGAGAAGGGAGGGGTGTTGCTTGCAGAATAGAGTGTTGCCCACCGTATGGTACCATAGTGTCAGGTACTCACAGGGTCTTGGGAGGAGCGGAGGGGAACAGTGAGGTGAAAAGCCTGAGCCCTGAAAAGAAAAGCAAGCCCATTGGGTAAGAGAGCCAACCCGGTGGCAAAGGCAGCGTATTTCCAATTTGCACACCCCTCTTGGGCGGCCACAGGCGAGTCTTGTTGAGTTCATTTGGTTGAGCAGATCCAAGACTGAAGCCTGAGAGATGCGGCTGATAGCTCTACTAGCAAGTTGACTGGGAAGCAGCTCTCCATCCTTAGCAGCCCTCTGACCCTCACTTCCCCATACATCTCAGGAATGCCTTCCCCGGGAGGGAGGCTTGTCCACAGACACTGTCAGAGAATCCAAGGGGGATAGGGGGTGCCATAGGGGCCTGAGGAGTAGGTAAAGGAATAGTGAAGAAGATTCCTGAAGACATGGCATGTACCTCGAGGCCTGAGAAGCGACAGAGAGTAAGGATTCTTCTGCAGAGAGCTTGTAGGAGGCTCGCATGGAACAAAGTGGAATGTGCAATGATAAGGCTAAGCTGTGCAGATCCTGGTTCCAGGACAGCCTGGGAGAGAGACAGAGCCTGGACCCCAAGTAGCTTCATCTCAAAAGCAGTAGTGGCCATTGATTGTTCCCCAGAAGAGCAGTAGCCAGGCCTGCAAAAGCTGGAGGGTGATTAAGAATGAACTACCAGGAGGGACGGGAAGGCCAGTGAGGACATTGATGCATAGCTGAGATTAGAGATAATGGAGGTTAGGACCGGGAAAAGTGGCAGAGGTGATCAGCGAACAGAGGCAAACTGCATTTCAGAGGCACGATTGCTTTGGCTTGTTGGTGAGTTGGCTGCGGGGAAGGGGAGTCTCACTAGGGGAAGTGGCACAGGTGTGACATTCTCTTCAGGCTACAGTTCCACAGGGATAGAGGGATGCTGATGTCCACCCCAGATGATCTCTGAGGTGGAGAAAGAGACTGGAAAACACTTAGGTCGACACCTGTTCAGTTGGAGACAAGTGTGAGAGCCAAGTAACAAGGACAAGAGCAATGTCGTGATTGGATCTGGCGCTCAGAGAAGAAATCTGAGCAGAACACAGTGTGGACGTCATGAGGTCATTGATGATCTGGCGCTCAGAGAAGAAATCTGAGCAGAACACAGTGTGGACGTCATGAGGTCATTGACGCTCTTTAAATACATAGGTGGAAGAGTACCCAGGATTGACATATCAAAGTAGATGGGAACAAAAAGACCCAGAACTGAGGAAAGCTCCCGAAGACAGAGATAGAGATTTGAGGGAAGGATGAGAATACAGAAAGAGGACATTGCCAGAAAGAGAAAAAAAAAAAAGTGTGGGAGGGCTGAGAGTGTATGGGGAAGTAAGTGTGTGTGTGTGTGTGTGTGTGTGTGTGTGTGTGTGTGTGTGTGTGATCAAGCCTGTGAGGGAAGGATGGTTTGTCATGGAGAGAGGAGGGAGTGGCCAGATAGAATGCGATCCTGAGACTCCAGAACAAGTAGGTGCTGGTATAAGACTTTCTCCTGCTCAACCATTCAGAGTCCATTGGTGACAGACATTCTTAGTTTGCACAGAGAGGAGCGGAGATAGTTTAGGTAGAGTAAAACCAAATTGGATAGGACTGAAGATTAAATGGGGACCAGGGAAGTGAAAAAGTGGGTGTGGATCACTTTCTAGAAGCTTAGTTGGAAAGATTAGAGCAATTGACTGAAGGAAAAAATGGTGTCATGGAAAGGATTTTTTGAGTGAGTGAGTGTGTGTGGGGGAGAGAGAGAGAGAGAGAGATTGAGAGAGAAAGTTATCTATACAGGCATATTGAAGAACCCAGTAGGAATCCCTTTTTCTGATGCAGATGTTAGCTGGGATTGGCATGGTGAGCTTAGCGAAGAGAGTAATGGTGTCTACACTTCAGATTCTTCATAAAAAATGACCTCTGTGTCACCTGTGTAACATTCAGTCTCCAGTTAATCAAATTCACATTGCCTGGTTTTCATCCCAAGGAACAGAAGAACCCTGAGCATATAATTCCTCAAAGTTTTCTATGCAGTTCTAAACAGCCATCCCAAACATGCCTGACTATCATGGCCCAAGTTTTGTGATTCATGCCCGTTAATAAGACCACCCGAGGTAAAGCAGCTCTTCCTTAGGAAGGAAAGAACACCCCCTCCCCGCTTCTGTCCATTACCCCCTTAGACTTTAGACTTGCCAAAATCCTTCTTCCGGGGTCACCTTGATGTGACCTTGACAAAAATGAAACCTCTTTGGGTTCTCCTTCAGTCCTAGTTCTACACAACTTTGATTTGGAAGATATGAAATCTTGATTGCAGTTCTTTTCATACTGATGTTGACACAAAATATTTTATCATCAATCCATCAAGCCAACAACTTGAATGCAGCAAGTCCAGTATAAATGTAGTGCTCCTAAAACCCAGCCAGGATTTGGGAATGAAGTTCGATTTCTAGTCTTACCCTTGACTCACACTAGTCATGACTTTGCCAGGAGTTTCTATGCCTCAGATTTTTCATCTGTAAAATTCCCACTTCCTACCTTGGAGGATTAATTTGATCATATCTGTAAAATACTTTGAAGTCATAGAGGAAGGAGGCTACAACATTATCACATGTCATTCTTGTTAGACTCATGTTGATGTATATATGACTAGCAAGTGTGAAAAAGTAGTTGTAAGTGTGAGCTTGGGAGATGAATGGCTTACAACAAGTCAGCTGTATCTGTGTCTGTACTGACAATGTGAACAGCCCTTTACAAACTGTGTTAACTAACCCTACTTATTTCTGGTTGCGCTTCAATCTCACTTTTGAATGTTAACTCTAAACCGCTAACCTGTTTCTTTCCCTTTATCCACTTTTTCCACCCACCATTGCATGACGTCAGGGTCAGTTTTGTGCATGACACCCGCTACCAGTATTGGTAGGTTTCAAACTTTTTTTATTTGTATTTTTATATGATGTCTTTTATATAATACTTTCACTTGTTTGACATTTATTTCAGAGATGGTAAAAAAAATGTTTGAGGAAGAAGAAGTAGTAAATCTGAAGGCTTATTTGGCTTTAGAGTTAACAGGTTTTTTTTAAGATGTATAATTAAGAAAATGATGGTTTTAATGTGCTCTTTTGTGCTAGAACAATCGTTACCAAGACATAAAGCCACAGTACAAGTCTGATTTTTAATGATTTGTGTTTTGTTTCTCTTTATAGTTTATCTGGTATAGCATAAGAAAAACAGACAGGAGGCAGGCTAATTTCATCAATGTTTTAAAGTTTCATAGTGGTGTGCCTTTATCTCCTCTTGCTTGTCTTAGAGTTATCAGAGTTTCCCAGAAGTATTTCTTTAAAATAAATAAATGTATACATACATATACATACATGGATGCATTTTGAAACTAAATGTCAGACCTACCTTTCTTATCTTTTATAAGTGTTAGCTCATTTGTGATGATCTTTGTACCTGCTCATTCTTTTTGATGTTAAACAGTCCTCAGTATAATAGTTCTTCAGTCTGTCTTTAGGACATATGGATTGATTCTAGCTAGAGTCCAGAAAAGCAAATATTGACAGAATTTGTCTGACTATTTCAGAGTGACTGTGTTAGAATTTACATCAAGGCCGTAGTTTTTGCTTTGCTGTTTATTGATCAAAATAAAACACAATCCCCAGCGATTCCTGTTTACATAAAAGATCCCAAATTGAAAAGGAAAATGTTCTATTTGACCAGAGTTAACCAAGATGTTCCAAAGAACATCTTATCCCAAATTAAACTTACATATCAGGCCTTTGATGTCTTAGAATTTATGATTATTCTATACTTAATTGTCATATATTCTCACTTGATTGGATATTGCCCGTGAGATTTTTTTTTAGAAACAACCATTATTATATTTACTATATGCTGAATTGGGAATGGTTCTATTGTTAGAAAGAAATTGTTAATAAATCCATCAACCAAAGTAATCTGCTTTGGCCTTTCTGGGAATCACTGATTATGTTTTAAAACTTCCTTTAATTGTACTTGTAATAAGCTATTTTCCCTTTTTTATTTCTCTCCCATGCTTCCTTGCTTTGCATTGTGATTGCATGCCATCTGCTGGTTTAACCCATGATGGCTTGCTGCTCTGATATTCACCATGCCAAATACCACTTCTATTACCATAATGCTACACCCTCCTGTTCATTGCTCCCATGGTTCCCCTCCTGAAAGTACCCATGATGCACAGCGCTACGTCCGCCACTGTCTCTGCAGCAACAACTCCTGCAACAAGTGTCCCCTTCGCAGCAACAGCCACAGCCAATCAGGTTTGCTCCTTTTAAAGCTTTCTTTCACAAATCCCGAACTCTAAATGAGTGCTGATATTTAAAAAAAAAATTCTCAGTGAGAGAATTTTTTTTTCATGTTTATCCATCAAATTTTATTTTTTTAATTAGTTTTATAGCAAGCATTTACAGACAGGTTGCACTTATTTAGAGTTAACATTTACTGCAAATAATGATGTAGCTATGTTTTGTGTTGCACTGTTTGTTTTCGTACCTAATATTGTGTAATTAACCTGACAGGCTTAAATTCCTTTTAGTACAGCGTTACTTATCCAGTGGTTGATGAGTGACCCCATAAAAATGTGAAGGCACCTGTGGGTGTTCCACGGTTGATTCTAGTTTGCTTCGGTTCATTCAGACCATATGATCTGTGTTGGAGGAAGAAATCACCTCTTAGAAAAGTCTCCTCGGGCTGGGAAGGCGGTTCAGTGGTAGAGCACTTGCCTTGCATGCCTGAGGCCCTGGGTTTGATTCCTCAGCACCACATAAGCAAAAAGAAAAAAGCCGGAAGTGGCTCTGTGGCTCAAGTGGTAGAGCGCTAGCCTTGAGCTGAAGAGCTGAGGGACAGCGCCCAGGCCCAGAGTTCAGGCCCGTGACTAGACTCCCCCCCAAAAAAAGAAAGTAGAAAAGTCTCCTCCCTTCCTTCTAAGTATTAAATCTGAGGTCCCAATAATGCTTATTAATTTGACATTGACCATAGGTGCTACCAGACTCACTTAGCCCCCACTGGACAGTCTGCCCAGAATCCTGGCGTAAGAGCCATACATCCTGGAAGGAGAAAAGAAATGTACCACTGGGTTCACGAGCTGGATGTAAACAATTAGGAGAGTTTAACTCTGTGGGTTTAATGCATGTTCACATACCACCTTGGCTTATGACACTAACTAGTGAGAGCCAGCGACTGTTAACAGCCACTGTGCCCTTGACCTCAGCAGTCAACTTAGACACATGCGTTCCTGGTAAAAGGATCTGTACATTGCATGTGATGATGGAGAATCAATCCTCCCTTCACCTAGAAAACCATCTTCTAGTACATACCCTCCCTTCAGGAAAGAGCAATTATGTGGGGTGGTAGAGGGGATTGTTTGGTTTAGTTTTGAATTTTGTTTGTGTTTTATAATAAAAATTATCCATGGTGTTAATACAAGATGAAAAAGAATCTAGGAAGGCAAGGCTGATAGGAAAAATGGTAAGTTGGGCATTGGGGGATAGCAGGTGGGCATAAATGGCATCCGGCTTCCTGCAGGCTGGCAGGGCTGACTCACACTCAAGTGACTGTAGGATCCCAAGGCTCTAGGCTTCCTCACTGAAATGAGAGGTGTGAATGCATTGGGTGGCAGGAAGGAAAATGAACCTCCTGGACAATTCCAACCGTGTCTGCCACATCGTGATAAGGCAGGAAGGAGCAAGGAGTGGACTGCACAGACGCCATGTAAACTATGTGTTTGCAGTTCTTCTGTTCATCATCTTACACCCGGTCCCCTAATGGGGACCACAAAGAGAGGCCAGCAAGTTCCTGCCTGGGAAAATTGATTTCTCTTTAAACCATGGGATGGCAGAAGGGAAAGAGGCTATCTGTATCCTCCCAGCATTGGATTCAAAACACCTCTTCTCACTCACTCAACCTTTTTTTATGGGTCCCAAGGCCCGATGCTTGTTAAACAAGCACTCTCCCACCAGAACTATGGCCCAAGCCCTTTGGTTCCTTGGCATTTTGTTTTTAAAACAGGATCTCCCTAACAACACCTGAGCTAGCCTTGAACTGGAGACCTCCTGTGTCTGCCTCCTGAGTAGCTGGGATTACAAGGCATGGAACTCCATGCTCAGAACACTTCTTTGTCCTTTTAAGGGATGATGGCTATCTGCTAAGTCTATATCCTGCCCCCTCCAACCATGCTTATGTGATTTTTTTAATCTGATTTCTTCATAGAAAAAATGTTCAAAAAATAATATGATATCAAAATTTCCCCTATACTTCATAGCAAGTTGCATATTTCCAGTGTTCAGAGATCTTCTCTAAGAAAGGGAAGGAAGCTTTGGAGTTTCAAAACAATGTCATTTGTATTTTTTCGGTCTAGTGATTGTTTGGCACCATTTGATAAGGGAGAAAAAGTCGGGATTGTAAACAAACATACAGGATTTTGTCTGTGTGGAAAGAGGCAAGGAATAGGAAGTCTGGACTATTTAGAAACTAAATCATATCATTGTAACTTGGGTATGACCAGGAAAGGAACTAATAAGCCTAACTTTAATTTTATCCCAACAACTGTAGTTAAAGGAATACATAACTAGCTTAATGAATCCTAGATTCTGTGCTTTACAGTTTGTCAGAGGCAATAGTTGGTACTGTATTGCATGTTGTTATAAAACGAAATCCTAAAGCAATACTTGATAAAGGTCTGCTTACACAGAAAGGTAAATCATTTAACCATAGGTTTTCAGATATGACTTTTTTCATGTATTTTCAACAAGTCTCCTATCATCTACAGAAGAACTTGGGAATTATTTTAGCATCTAAGCATAAGAAACTCAGAGATTTGCTAATGATTGTGAAATAAAAATCCAGTTTAAGATGTCAACTCAATTGGAATGAGGAATCTTGGCTTGTGAATCTCAGTTGTGAAAGGAGGAAGAGATCCTCATGACCTCTGAGATTTGTGCCTCTTAGACAAGCCTGAAAAGTGGCCTGGTCAGAAAGGTGACAGAGGCAGGACAGACAGTGGAGGAAACACTGAGGCTGTAGAACGCTAAGCATTCTGCCTTCTCATCTTTAGCACAAAATACAGCTGGGTTTTGACCCTCCCTCCTCCCCCATTTTTAGTTAATTTTTTCAATCAGATCATCCATTCAAATATTTCAGATCTCAGAGGCAATTTGTAATTAGATACGTTATTCATAAGAGGAAGAAGGTCAACTGAAGCTTCTCATGGCTTCTCATGATAGCTTCTCTGGTCCAGGGTGTTTTTAGTTTACCACGTGGAGAATCGCACATAGCACACAGCCAACGCATACATTTTATCCTCAGGATGAACCACCAATAAAAGTTTGCATGGATCTTTTTGTAGAGCAGTAGCTTAAAATTAAATGGAATCTAAACATGAGAAAAATGTTTTAAAAGCCTGGGAATTATCTAGGAATAGATATATAGACAAAAATACAACTTCCTATTTTGATTTCATATTTCGATTTTCCTATTGCAAGGTCTTTGAGCCTTAATATACAAACTATATCTAGTAATAATATAATAATACAAACCACTTGCTATAAGCCAGGTATGACTAGAAATGCTCTCTCGTGTATTACATATTATATGTCATATATTCAACTCTACTATATATATGAAAGGCTATGTATGTATAAATATATAGATTCTTATTTAGTCCTTACAGTAGTTTAGGCTCTGTGTTCATCATCCCCATTTTATGGATGGCAAAAGTTAAACAAGTGTAACTGCATGAACCAAAGTTGCATAGCTATTAAATGGTCCTGCTAGAGTTTAAACACAGGCAGTTTGGCCACAAAGCCTTGGTGTTAACACCCAGGTCACAAAGCCTTGGTGTTAACACCCAGGGTGTGCTCTTCCTCTACAATTAGAAACACTCAAAATAAAACTATCTATTGAGTGAGACTCAAAACAAACAAATTTCATTGCTAGAGGAGAAAATGAAAAAGTCTTGCTAATACAGGTCAAGCCAAGAAGGGGCCTTAATTGGGAAATTGAACTCTCAGCTAGTTATAGAACAGGGAGCTCATGTTTAGGAACTCCGTAGTTGAACTTCTTGATTCTTTGTGGTACTATAATCAGTGGGAATTTTTTATTTCTAACAGAAGGTTTAGCCATCGGTCTTAAGCAGGTCTGTAGGTACCTTTTGTCACAGACTCTATTTCTAACCTCTGTTAAATCTCCAAGTACCTTGGTAAACAAGCAAACTCAGAAAAGAAAATAATGTCAACCTGACAGTTAGTAGGTTCAATCCCACTAAAAGAACCAGAATTCACAAATTTGTTGACGTCCCTATTGTGATAAATTTAGAGTAGACAGTAAAGTGATAGAGATATTTGGCTTAGCATATGGATTATCTAGATATTTTCCATGCTACAAGAAATGTTATTTAATAAAAAAAGGGGTGCATATAAAATTTCTATAACCTGACTGGTTACAGACCTCTATGGTATAATTGCTTTTTTAAATTATGCAAAGATACTTTTTATTCTTTCATAAGGAGAGAGGATATTTCTGAATAAGTGTAATTTGTATTTTAGCTTCTTTATTTATACATGGGTATTATTTAGTTCACTTAATTACGTCCTTCAAGGCCCAATTCAAATACAATTTTTACTGAGTCTTCCCTGCTGGAAGTTCTTCATCTGTCCTGTGAATTTTACAAGGATTTTGTCTGCTTTTCCCTTAGGGTACCTTCAGTAGGTAGAAAGTCAACTTCAAGTGTACAAAAATGGAGGGGCATAAAGTTTATCTGGAGAAGAACCAACAACCTGAGCAATCAGAACCTCCATTTGTGGGAATAGCTCTGAGTTACTAACTCCTAGTTGAGCAGGGTCTTAATGCCAGGCTAAAGGATTCTGTCACTGATGGGAAACCTAGGAATACTGAGCAGAGAGATTGGAGGAGAGCATCTGCAGGAACCATAAAGCATCTACACTGGCACCAGGGCCATCAGCAAGTAGCCTGTTGGTCTCACCATTTCCCATTACTTTGGGAATGTTACTTTTAGCCAAACAGAAATATAAAATCATTGTGTACTACAGCAAAACCTGTCCCAAATCAGCATCAGGTGACAGAAAGATACATGTGGGCTGATGTGAATGGTTAGGGAACTTGCCTCTTGGGACTTGTTGACCCGCACTTAGCCAAGTCTCCAAGAAGTGCTACCTCATGGTTACCAGTAGTAAGTATAAGGCCTCCACAACTGAGACTTCCTCTAAAGATTTAGTCCATTCAACAGAGTTGACCTTCCAGAGAG